ATTCACAAATTTTACAACAGTTGCAAAGCAGCTTTTTCTGCTGAACGCAACCAATGACACGTATTGAAATGACGTTGGAAAAAAAAAGAGTGTTATGTGTGACGTTTTAGATTCTTGTGTTACATTAAATATTTGTTCATATACGTTTGGTGCAAACTTTCAGATAAAATTAACTCACGTTCGTTACTACGAAGATCTACAAACAGTAACGGTGTTGTTTGTTGTCCCATTCACCTGCGATAACTGACAGACTTACCGGCACAGACGTACGGCCAGAAATAATAATTCTAACACCCCCGGAGCTGACTCAGCACATCGCGCGAGCACCCTATACAGTACGGCCCGAAAAACGGCATCAGGCACGACCAATTTCGCTTAATGAGTTATTACACTGCCTACAATCTTTCATACATCGCGTAGTCACAAATTAAATCGCTCAAATGGCAAAGTTCCTCGGGAGGGATTAGTCGATCGTTTTTAAGCTTGGCGTTTTCGAATTCTTCAGATGTCGGGTGTATGCAAACGTATATGCATAGGTGATATGCACGTGAAATATTGTTCGTTACATCGTGACGGATGTCTATCGCGCCATTGGGTGCAGTAAATTGTTCGCCTAATTGTAACACGCGTACTGACAGCCCTGACGTGCCCGAATCACGCTTTTATACTTGCGTAGCAACCAAGTATACACCTACCCTATATCTGAACCACTGTTCGGCATAGATGTGTGGAATACGAATCGTCTTATCTTATAGATCTATCGGAGCTGCGCATCTTTGCATGCGTTTCGTGCTGTTCTCGCGCGGGCTTTATAGACAATCGGAAATGAAGTTGCAGTCGGAAGAGAATTTAATCAAATCGCGATGCAAAAATGAAATTGGGGCGCGCTTACCGTTCTCCGGGCCGAAGAAGAAACGTGACTGTTTAAATCGTTCTTTAATGACTTCGTCGTTAATTGTTCTTTAGTGCTGATTTTCTCCGTAAATAGTTCCTCACATTGCTAGTTATATGCGTAAAAGCGACATGACGTAGAGCGACAAGTATTTTGTCGTTATACAGAATATTTTGATCTGTGATGTATCACTTTATAATTATATAATTATATAACATTAATTAAAAATCCTCCCAGAAATTACTAGCTCTCGCAGCAATGCAAAAAACTACTGGTACATACCCTGGAGATGTCATTAAAGGCAAAAATATCCTCGGGTCTTTTGCTCGACGCGAATTCAATTAAGCGACTCGATCGACCGAATCTTTATGCATTGGGTATAACAAGGAAGCCGAAGAATCGTTAAAATTGATTCCCGCGCCGCTCGCGCGGCTCGAACTTATCGCTCGTTCGTAATTGCCAATTTCCTGACTATTCTTCATTCGCGCGCGAACGAATCTAAGTTCAAGTTCGCGTTCGGAAATAGATGCTTTCTGCGTGGTGGTCTGAGAAGATGCACCAGTGAAAGGTGTCTTATGCGAATATGAAATTGGACGGTTAAAACCGGGTGGTGTAGTACCAGGAGCGGTGCGATGCATGCACACATGCATTCAAGTGTGCCGAAACGAGCGAGAAGGCTTAATGATCGATCAGCAGCGCACAGTTACGCCAGCCGTAAACGGAAAGATCGTATATTTCGTGCGAATGATCGATCGTTGACGCGCCGCTCGGAAGATGGAGAACTTTACTCGCTGAAAAGAGAATTTTTTGCAACATCATACGCGTTGGAACTTAAAGTCTAATTCAGATATTAGCATATTGTTATTTCCGCTGTTGCGAATCCAATACTAAGATTTCGTTCGCGCTACATACCCTTTGATATTTTGATCCAACGGGATGTGATATTTGCTTTTAAAACCACGTTTGGTACCTTGTCCAATTTTTTTAGTTGCTTTCCAGGATGCACCACGGGATTCTCCATACTGCGTAATACTCCATAAATAATATCCATTATTAATCTTTCTTAAAGATATCTTATATTTAGTGTATAGTAGTTACTTAAAATTTTACTAAGACGAGTCATTATTTACATATTTCTACTGCACGAAATAACATGTCGATTTGAATCAATTGTTTTAAAACACGTTGTGAAGATACAAAAAAAAACATTTCTATATAAAAATTGTAAAGCACATCTTAGCAAACATGATAATATCAAATAATGTTTTAATAATGCATTAACCTTTGGAGGACCGGAAGCCAATATATCGGCGCGACGGCGGTGTCAGCTTTTTCCCCATTCAATCCAATGACATTGACAAAAAAGTTCTAGCTCTTAAAATAAAAAAAATCGATAAAAAAATAGCCGGTCCTCAAAAGATTATGATTGATGTCTCTAACATCAATAATGTTATTAATACGTCATTTGAAATCATCCTGTTACTTGGGACATTCTATAGTATAATACAGTTTCCTAAAAATCGCATGTTTTAAATGTTACACTAATGTTATCGAATTAAATTTACTTTTATTTTCACAAATTACCTGGTAATTAATCCTTTCATGTTGTTTCAAGTTTTTACTGACACAGAACGAGTGCAAAGTTGACAAAAGGCATTACATGACAATAAAACCACCATTAGCTTAAGCAGTCCTGCACTTCCGCCGCTTCATTACAAAGGAGAAACCTGAATCACCTAAACCAGTTTTCAGGACGCTTTTCGTGTTCCAGGCTAATAGAAGCTCCACCTAGGTTGAGGTGTATGCCTACGTGATAACACTCCAATTTCTCGAGAACTGCCTTTGGCATACTTCCATGGAGCATTGCATACATCATATTTAACCCTTTCCCAGCAATTCTATTATGTAGATTACCTAGATAAACAACTATATAAATTAGTTGAGATCGTTTTTAAGGAACAGTCAATAAAACAACACAGTATTGTTAAAATTCAGCAATTAATTAATTTAGAAGAAATTATAACTTGAAAAATATACATAATTAATACTTTTAGTATACCTTTCTGTATACTTTTAGTATACCTTTAGTATACCTTTCTTAGTATTTTCAATGTATATATTAGTTAGAAATTTGAATGGATGATAAAGTCCTTCCTTTCAGGAACAAGGGATGATGATGCCTTCCTTTCAGGATATTGAGAGTTATACACAAAAAAGATATGCTTTCATTGTTTAAAAGTCATGTTAAAATTACTTGTTCAAAATCTTTACCAGAGAATACCAAATCTGAAAAAATAAATAGATTTGATATAGTTATTGTCATTGATATGGTTATTAATAAGTCTACACATATATATGTTTAACTTTGAAAATAATAATTTGCAAATAACAAATATAAATTTCAAATATCTAATAATAGCTATTATTTTATATATGTATTATATATATATATATATTATTTTATATATAAAATATTATGACAAGTATGGAAATTCTTCGATAAAATCTTATAATATTCTTGTAAAGGTAATGAATTTTTCTTTTGAATCTATGATAATGAGTTTTTCTAAAATTTGTGTGATAAGCATATCTTAAAATTATTATTAAGAAAATATTTTTTGTAGAAGAAAACCATTAGAGGAAACTAAGGCTAGTTGGTAAAATCGATTATTTATTTCTGCTATCTTCTAACAGTTACAGAAAGTTACAGAATAAAGCAAGCAAGAGTTTTGAACATGTTAAAGAAATCTCTACTTACTTGATTTTTAAACCTGTTAAACAATAGAAATAATTAATTTTGTTAATTAACTTATCCCTGTTACTTATTATTAATTTTCCAACTAGCTTCAGTTTCCCCTACTTAAAAGAAAAGAAAGTAAACTGAATAATTGATTTTTTAACAGAGTAGAATGAAATTTTTTTCTATGTAGTGAGAAGCCACTTTACTAATAAAATCAATGATGGAATTTCTACTGCAAAATAAAATAAGTATAAAAAGGTACACAAGAATCACAAATTATATAAATATCTATTGTAAATTATAGAAATTCAGATTTGATTAGAGAGAGATGGAGAAAGAAAGAAAAGAGAAAAACTGCAAAGTTAAAAACACTTCCTTAGATTAATATAGAAAAAAATATTAACTTACTGAAATGCATGAAAGCATGTTGAATCTCGACATTCTTTTGAAACATCTTTCTTATGATTCCGTGTCGCCGACATGATGAACATTGGTTATGTGCATACGACATCACATTGAATCACATTCGGACAAGTCGACTGATGCACTAAAACGATTGTCCGTCATTCGCAGTCATTCAATATTGCTGACATTTGTTTATGCACGAGAGATTCATTCTTAATATATGAAGAGATGCAACCAACATGAGGAATTTACGTTACGACCTGACTTCAAACTGCAATCAAGCGTCTTGAAATGTGGCGCTATTTCTAACCGCGATCACAGTAGCTGCGATGATAACGCTGCGGTTGGGGAATTTCAGAAGCCATTTCGCGCGTCTCGCGGCCACTGTTCGTCGAAAGTGAGTCCTGCTCTCGGATTATTGTCGTTAGGAGTGATGAAAGTAAGTACCGTGCATTCGATATCACGAAATCAATTGTTGCGTAGTCACTGAAAATAAATACGACAAATGAGAATTCGTAAAACGGCTGTGTCGGAAATATCGAGCAAAGTATCCTACGTTCGTTTGTTCGTTACGTTAAGATTACTCAACTACACATCGTTATCCTATCAGTTGTATTCCTCCTGACAAAATCGTGAATATTACAAGTATAAGAATCGCCTTGGATTTGAATAAATAAATCAGTCATCGTGAAGGGATGGTTATAATCAGATTTCTAAATAGTGCGATACGATGTAAAGGTATCACTTTTTCAAATTTCGAGTATCGCAATCGCTGCGACAAAGGCGCTTTTGGTACGGCGGTCTTGAGAACCATTTCGCACGTACCGCCACTTCTTGTCGAAGCGGAGTCTCGCGTGCGAATAATGTAGAACGACCTTAACGAGCAATAAAGATAAAATGACGCCGTCAGCACGAAAGCATTGAAAACGAATGTGCGTAATGTTCTTTCAGTTTGACAATCAGAAAGAATTCTAAATCATATTTAGCATTCGATATGCGTCCAAAATAGGGCCTAAAAATCATTTCGTGCATTTTGTGCATCTTTTATTGCGCACACTTACAATCGCGTAAATTAATCGTCGCGTTTAAAGTTCAAACCGCCATGCGTAAGATGTCGTTACTTGAAAATTTCGAACATTTAATAAGCGGGCTCGGCTGCGTCTGCTTCGAGGCGTCAAATGGACCAATATGATTGGTCCGCTTGTCTCTTCAAAGCATTCGCAGCGCCAGACGTGACTTACCTAACGGTCGTGATGGCAGCACTATAGTTCCGATTCGGAAAGTTGTGTCGTGTTCGTCTCGCGATATTTACTCGCCGTAAAATATTAATTGAGTTTCGCGCATAAATTATCGTCATTGAGAGTAACGAAAGTAAGTATCGCGCGTTCGATATAGCGAAATCAATCGTGATGTAGCCGCGGAAAGTGCGCATTCGCGAAATGAGTGTCAGTAGTATCGGGCAAAGTATCGCGCTTTTTCCACATTATGGCGGAAATTCAAATCTTGAAAGCGTAGCGTCTATCTTCTTCTAAGAAGTCTCGTGCGCGAAATATCGTCAAAAGTGCCGAAAGTTTCATATTTCATTGTGGTTTATGATGGAATATTAAATTGCCGCGGCAGTGAATATCTTGAAGAACGGATTGTCTGAGTTCAGTGGAGAGAACGCGCTCGTTGCACTTGGAGATATATCGTCAGGCCGGATCTTCTTCAGAGATAAGTAGGCTGGCGAAGAAAGAAAAGTAAAAAGTATATCGATTAATATCTATCGATACAGAGCAAAACTGTTATATAGGTAATGTGCCCGCGAATTTTACATTTGGTTTGTTCTTTTTAGCTGCACTGCTGAATTAGTGTAATAAATTAAAATGAGATAAATATACTTTCTCTCACTCTAACTTATTGCACCAGTTCAGCAGTGCAGCTAAAAAGAACAAACCAAATGTAAAATGTAAAAAGAACAGAGCAATTGAGACACATCTGTTTTTATATACAAGCTATAGAAATCAATATTTTTGTATTTAGTTGATGCTAATTATTATTATTATTGTTAGCTATCCAACTGCAAAAAATTGCAGAAATATGTATGTACTGTGCACATGTACATTGTGCTATAAAAATAATTTAATTCATACAAAAAGATGCAATATTATTAACTAGACAATACTTGAGCAAAAAGAACAAATGTATCCTTGGTGTCACAGAGGAGGTTTCATTTCATTTTCTAAAATATCGGTGTAAGATGAGTCATATATCCTTTCATAATAGTTATAAAAATTAATATATGACTAGATAATGTTAATTATTACATTATTTCTCATCGTCTAGCAAAGGAATTGGGAAAACATGCATGCTGTTGTATTATAAAAATAATTTAATCCATACAGAAAGAATATTTACATTATCAAGTAGCAAATAGTTGAAAAAAGAAATATGTTCTTGGTATCACAGAAGAAGCTTCACTCGATATTTTATATGATATCGGTGTAAGTCATATATGCTCTTAGTTATAAGATATAAGTTACTAGTTATAAGATATGATCATGTCTTTCTCATTCCTGAAAGCTATTTAGAATTTTTATCGTAGCATCTTCCATCTCTACAAATGAGATTTTGGCAATACATGATAAAAGATACTTTCTATTTAGTCTAATTGAAAGAAAAATAAAGACAAAAATATGATTTAACTATCAGTTAACTTGAAGTTGAAACAACTGACTCTAACATATTACTAATTAATGTTATATTGTTTTTCATTGCCTAATAGAGAAATTGCAAAAGCACGCGTACTACATTATGCTATAAAAATAATTTAATACATACACAAAAAGATATTATTAATTAGAAAATATTTAAATATTATTAATTAGAAAATATTTAAATAAAAAGAATGTATTCTTGGTATCACGAGGGAGGTTCTTTCGATATTTCAAAAGATATTGGTATAAGATTTGATTTCTATAATACTTATTAGTCAGTATCATAAGTTTTTATGATACATACTATATTACAGTGTCTATTTATAAAAGTTTAGTGTGATCAAATCTTGAACAATTCTCTGTATTAAATAATAAGTATTTCTTAATTAACATATAAACAGCATATATTTCTAATTAACATATAAACAGCAACACATTTTATCATGTTTTGGATTTCTTCACGGTTCCTTTTCGTTGCTTAGGACGTTTGCTCGACTGTTCAGCTTTCGGTTCCGATGCAAATTCATATTTTCGAGACAATTTCTCTCTAATCAGTAGGCCCTTGATAAGTTTCTTCCAATTGCCGTAAACCCTCTTCTCTCTTTTTTCGATAGCACGTTTAGTTGCTTCGACTTGCTCCGCTTCCCAAGCGTCTCTTAACGTGTCTTCGTATTCGGTACATACGACAAAGCCTTCGATAGCTGGCACAGCACCCATACATCCGAAATTAAAACCCACCACGGCGGATGCGCAGTCTATATTCAATTTTCGGGCGATACGATTTAATCCTGGAACTGCAAGGATTTCGTCGTTACCTAATGTACTTTATGCGCAATTTGTACTTTATGCGCATTTCTATATTATCATTTTTATAACAAAACATGTGTGTATGTGTGTGTGTGTGTGTGTGTGTGTGTGTATGACAACTAGGAGTTTATTTTCTTTCTATTTCAATTCAGTTTATATTATATTATATTATTCAATTTATATTATATTTAATATATCAATCAGTTCTTTCTTAATATTTTTATAATTTCTTAAAAATTATAGACATATTTTGAAGGGAAAAACGTTAGTTGAACGTACAACAAAATTTCTTTAAATTTTATTTAGGACATAAAACAACAGTAGTAAATTAACTGTTAAAAATTGTGGAGGAAAATGGAGTGATCTAGTTAAAATATCCCAGACAACACAAATGTTAAAAATCGAGTCATAAGACGTCTTTAGGACGTCTTTAAGACATCTTTAAGACAATACCTTATAAATTTGTCTTAAAGATGTCTTAAAGACGTCTTATGACCCGATTTAAAACATTGTGCTGTCTGGGATTCTACTGTTAGTATAAAATATACACTTTACACTTACGGTTTATATGTACTGTGCCCTTTGGAAGCATGCATTTTTTAAATAAATCTACATTTCCGTATTCGTTACGAGGCACAATGCCATTTTTAGCTTCTGGTGGAACGTAATCCATGGTTTGCCATTCTCCAAACAATTCCAACGCCGAGTCTTTGAGTCTCATGCCTGAAAGCTATGTAGAATTTTTATCGTAGCATCCTCCATCTCTACAAATGAGATTTTTGCAATACGCGGTAAAAGATACTTTTCATTTAGTCTAATTGGTCGCGTAAAATAGTTTATTAACACAAATCTACCTTGTCGTATTTCGGAAGCGCTTTAACTATTTTGTACGGCTCCTGCTTCGGTTTAACCACACGGGCTTTCTTCAACCAAGTTTCACGTGAACACAGCGTATGTACGCAGTACCGCGAATAAATAGCCTCGCTGTTATGTAGATGCCCGAGGGGTACGCAATCCGGCGGATATAGCGCTTCATATTTAAGTAAATGCCTGACCAACACATACAGAGGATGTCCTTTGCATTCCCCGACGGTTTTAGGCAACGGTCGCTCTAACTCCCTGTGAACACACAATCGGTCTGTATCAGCGGCACTATCTTTTGATACCAGCGGCATTATCATTGTCACGTTACAGTTTTGCTGGGACAATTGCGACTACATCTAAAGTCAACTTCAAATGATCTAAACGGAATTCGAAGCAAAATTCTATTGGTGAAATTAAAGAAATGGGCATTGAACAAATAATATATGTATTTTGCTCAGAATTCTGTTGCAAATCATGTAGAATGCAAATGAACTCAAAAACTCAAAACATATTGCAGTGTAGTAGAAAGAGAAACGCGTACTTTTGCAGAAGCAGTTCGTCTTCCTGTTTCGATATAGTCGTCTCTTTTTCTAACCAGTAATTTATAGTTTCTGTCCACCATTTCTCATCGATGCGCTGTTTACGCGTAATAGAAAGCCAGTGTGGACAATAGCGTCTTGTGACATCCTTTATCGATCCCTCCGAGTTGAAAGCAATCACATATAATACTGGCCTACTCGCTTTTTTCTGAAACATTTTCGGCAACAATTAATTAATTAAAAAAGAGTCGTTGTTACTCGAATTACTTACATACACTTCGGCTACACAATCCACGTTGCCGTCTATTACGTTTACGGATATCCAACTGCCTTTAGATTCAACGTATACCTCGGCCCATACGTCTTGCGTGCTTTTCATTTTAACATCAGCCTCCTCCTCCTCCTCTTCTAACGCTTCATCTTTCTTCTCGTTTTTCTTTTTAGATTTAACGACGGCTTGCGTTTTATTACTATTACCGCGTTTCTTTTTTGTTTTGCTAGTCGTTGCTTTTTCTTCCTCTTCTCCTGAACTTGAGTCAGAATGATCGATCTGCGTTTTTCTTTTGGAACTTGACGCTTTAGATTGATTATTTTCTGAACTGTTGGTCTTATTGCTTTGCTGTTTAGTTGTTGAGGATGCAGCATCAGCTAACTTCTTGGATCTTAAACTCCTTGAAGATGTGACGGTATCTGCTTTTTTAACATTAATAGTAACTACTTTATCGTCTTCGACTTCAGCGGTATTATTTTGAGCGATACTGTGGTTCAATTTATTCTTATCTTTTTTATTGTACGAATATTTCGAATGGAGTATCTCTGCCGCCCTTTTCCTTGCTGCTAGATTCGCATTTTTCCGTTCGCTTTCATTATTTTGAATACCATCATTATCGAGATCTTTCTTCGAATCTGTTTGCTTGGAGGAAGAAGGCTTAGAGGGCTTTGCCTTTGTTTTAGTTTCCTTCGGCTTCTCTTTGGCTTGGTTGGTTTTCTTCGGCGCGCTTGCTTTGGACAACAGATTGGTATAGGCTTTTACAGGTGGTGGATTGAGAGATACGATTAAACGACAGTTTAAACCAATGCCTCTCAGTACAGCTACGTAGAGTACTACCAATTCCCTGTAACTAATAATTTTTTTCTCTGCTATCCTCTTCAATAATGTTACCTTATTTATAATGACATCGTTGTTAATAGATTCCGCAGTAAATATATTCCTGAACCACTTTGTGAGTTTTCCCAAGTACACGAGATCAAGCTTGTCTTTTGGATAGTTGTTTGATGGAACCAGTGATACTGCTGTTGTCATTATTTCAGGATCGCTAGCTTGGCGATTCAAGTAGAATCCATGTGCCAACCAACAGAGTCGGCTTACCTTTTCCACAAATATCTGATTGGCCTTTAATTTTCTGCGCAAAATCGCAGCTAGATCTGACTCTTTTTTGCTGGCTGTTTTTTTCTTGAAAAGCACACTAGTGCCTGGTAAAGTTATCTTAACACCCTCTTTAGGTATGGTATAGTCAGCTGGACGTTTAACATCCTCCTCATCTTCTGTGTCTTCGTCATTCTCGCTTAGCTGAAATGCTCCACTTTCTCCTTGCAGCAAAACTGCATTTATCTCATCTGATATGTTATTCTTTTTCCCTGTAGTCTTGATATCCTTGATATCCTGCAAATAGTGATAGACATTTGAATTTTTGCACTTCACAAGTTTTCAAGTAACTTGTGAAATAATACACAGGCCTCTAAATCACTTCGAATTGTCTCCGAAACAAAAAACGACTTACCTGGAAGTCATCGTCTTTAGAAGAGTAGTGTTTTGGATCCTCATCTTTTATCTGAATTCTTTGCGTGGCCTCCAGATTCTTGACAACCTCAGAAAATAGTTCCATATCATTGTTCTCGGCAACGTTCGTGAAATCGTCATCATCCTCGTCGTCGCTGTCATCCTTGTTACTGTCTTTAGAGTTCACCTGATGAAGTTTCGCCGGTTTTATGGAGAAGAAGCTCGCGGTCAACTCATCTTTAGAGGTGAAACCTTTACTGAAATCGTTGCTACTGTCGGAACTGTCATCGTCGGAATCATTCATGCTTTCTGACAGAATCTGCAACAATCTTTGCGAATTCTTTGTTCTCTCGCTTGTTGTTAATACTCGTATTATCTTGTTATGTTTTATCTCTTGCTATAGATTTACTTAGCTATGACGTTTATTTTACTCGAAAGGCAATTATAATTGCCTATTATTATAATAAACGAATTATAATAAACGATGGATCGCTTTACGTAATAAGATGCAGTATGTAGCAATCTACTTGAGCCGCTATAAACACAACACACGTGAGAATACTTACTGTGCATGTCACTCTAGGTTATTTAGGACTCTCTCTCTCTCTCTCTCTCTCTCTCTCTCTCTATGGTTTTCAGGCCTGTCTCTATGGTTCTCAGGCTCTCATCACACTTCTTTGTAGGTTTAGTTTGGGGGCTATAAGTTGGTGTTTGAGTTATGTAAGATATTTAGAGGGGTGTGTTCGAAAACCGGCTGCACTCGATGCGTTGTAGTGAGAGAGATACGAGAATAAAATAAAGAGAGAGGAAGAACATTCGGATGATGTTTTCGAACGCACTCTAGATAACGTAAGGATATGTTGGTATAAAATAGTAAGTTCTTTCTGATGTTATTATCAAATGATAAATAGGTGAAGTACAAGTTCGCTACTTTACCGATGATCGCGAAATACAGAGATCTCAGAATTTAGATGTATTGATATTACAGAGTAATAATTACGTGTTTTTTATATTTAGAACTGTATTTTTTTAAACAAATTTTTAGCAACATGTTTTGATTACATGTTGATAATCGTATAAGATTCTTTATATCTTGCAAATAATATCTCTACTAATTATTTTTGTAATTTCAATTAACTAAGACAAATTTAAAAGAAAAGTATAATTTTTTATTTAATAATCATTAATATAATTATTAATATAATATATAAATATATAAATATTTTGCAAATGATATTTCGGTTAACTATTCCTGTAATTTCAATCAATTTATAAGACAAATTTAAAAGAAAAGTATAATTTTTTATTTAATAATCATTATGGTATAATTATTAATATAATATTATTATATTATATACAATATAATTTTCATACATTTCTCAAACATCCACTTTCTAAATACGACCATAAAAGCTACCACCAAAACAGTCATCTGTAAAATATTCCGTACATTTATTTAACTTGAGCCTTTTCCTCTAATAACGCTAATAAACCGACTTTCTTAGGTATGACAGATTGCACAAAACGCCGACAAGAAAGTCGGTTTACCTACGCGGCGTTCATTTATTCTTTGTCGCACGCGCGACAGCGAAATTTATATTCGCGCGTTACAAAGCGCCCATGATTTTGTGAAATATCACCATAAGAAGGTTTCCTCGCATAAAAAGTGTGGCAGGTGCCGGCGCCGCGGAAAGAAGTGTTCCAAATAGGAGAAATTAAGTCTACGCGACGGTGCATGAATTTTGCAGTAGCTTTTTTTCTCGAAAGACGTCGCGTGTATTACAAGTCGCGCTCACGTCCGAGCGTGACATCCGCGAATCGCTGAATAATCTCGAAATTGGTGCAGAAAATTGAATGACTTGATATACACACACACACGTATACACGCACGTACACGCAGAGAAACAGTTAGTCGCTGAAGCTAACATATAGCTATGGCAGCTAAAATATGTTATTAACATAAAGACAATTAATGTTGTTGCTATCAAAGCTAAATTTATTAGTTGAATTTATTTAAATTTCGACGCTACGGCAAAGAGAAAATATTCGTTATTAGATAGAAAGTTCGCATTATCATTATTTCGTTCTTCTTTTAATTGCATTTTATACTCGTATATTGTATTTTATACTCAAAAACATAAAACTAACGCTTCGCGTTACAAATCCAAATTAAGGTTTTTCAGAGCACCTTATTTTGGAAGAATATTAGCATAAAGTATGCAAATAGTGCATCAGTGCGAGAGCAAATGGTATTCACATGTGTACAAATAAGACTCATGAAACTGAACAAAATTCTATATTATTTTGCAACTAACTTCGATAGTTTTTCCTTGATTTTGATTCACGGTTTTAATTTCGTCACTGTTACAATAGACGAGACAAAGAAAAGAACCTGAATAATTCGATCGCGAATAAAGAAGATTTTGTGTCGTTCGTGTGATCGTTGTTTTTGCTGCGCTTTAATCGATCACGATCGCAGCATTCGACTCTTCTGTAATGAAAGAGTGGCATAGACGCGTGTGGGAACGCGTGTCAAAGAGATTTCTTTTTATTTCATGTCTCTATGTTACTTGTTCGCGAGGTGCAGGCGTTTAAAGCCACGAGATCGACATACGCGAAATTAACGCTCATGGTATTTGCTCTCGCACCAGCGCATAGAGAAGCTTTAGATGAAGGTTCATGTTTCAAAAAAGGTTACAGTTTCGAAATTTGAACCTATTCCAATCTTTTTTTTAATAAATGCTAATTAAATTTAGAATAATTTTGTCAGATTTTTGTCTTTTGCTTCCCTTTTTTAAAAGTAGATGTAAAGAAGTCAGATTTAGAAATTTTTTCAATCATATAATTCTGATAAATGCGGAAATTCAAAACTTGTTATTTCAAGAACGGTAATTAATAAAAAAATTGATAACATAATAATTTAGTCTTATTTAATTCAGTAGTTTTTATTTGCTGAAATAATTTGGTGTGCATCTGGTGTTAAATTAGATAAGATATGAAGTAAATAACTTATTGTTTGATTGAAAACAATTTCTAAATCTAACTTCTTTACATTTAATGTGATTTAGGAGAAAGAAAGCAAAAGACAAAAATCTGGCTCGACTAGGTTCGAAATTTCATTAGTTTTGATTAAAAAAGAAGCATCGAAGTTGATTCGATTTTCGCAGCTATAGCCTTTATTGTGAAACATAGGATTTTACTTAATCCTACTGCGCGCGTGCTACGCTTTTAAAATAAGGTGAACAATGAACTCAACTTATACTAGAAGACTTAATAAAATAAGAAGTAACGGGCTGAGTGAAAGGGAAAACAAGAACCGTTTTCTCTTTTTCTATTGATGTACTATTCGATTTAAAAACATCAGCTTGAGTGACTAGGCTTAGAGACGATATTCATAATCTCTTTATAAAGGTTGCATTCTGAAATTTATAATATACGTGACAAAACTATAGATTTCCAGTACTGGCAGTAAATTTCGGAACGCAGTCAAAATAGAAAGAAATATTTCTGTGAAGGATAATTTTAAGCAGAAAAGAACATAGAAATTTTCAACCAATCAAAAATCATTAGACAGAGAAAGAAGTAGCTTATCTTCAGCAATCTATCTCTTTCTTTTCGTGCCCGGCTTCGAAGCATTGCAGTAAGGGTGCCATTACATGAAGCACGGAAACGCGGAAGACAAAATCTTACTAGATTTCCGCGCTCCGCGAATTGAATCATTTCTTCCCGTACGTTTAAAAAGCGGAAAAGCGGAAGGCTCAAAACTTTTCTCTATTGTCTTTTCATTCAAGGTATCAAGATATGAATTCCAAAAAAATATCAGGTCCGAACGTGTTTGAACACGTTTTAATGTAACGGCGGTTAGGTCGAACAACTTGTGACAACTTGTGACAATAGATTTTGATGCGCTTGTTCCGCGACTTTATTTCTCCTTATATTACATGGAGCACAATTTACGCGGAAAAGCGGAACGGTTTGAAACGGTGACAAATAAATATCTGTATTTATTTTTTTAAATTGTATGCACTTAATTTACTGCAATTTTTACTAATATGTTTATCTTTTCAGCTTATCTGTTGATACAAGTATTAAAATACTTGTATCTATTGATACAAGTATTTTAATTAATAAATACCGTTAAAAATTAATATTTTATAATTCTCCATACCGCCTTTTCGCTCAAAATATGCTTCATGTAATATTAGGCAATCAAAACAGACGCGGAACGCGTAGCGGATCTAGTAAGATTTTGTCTTCCGCATTTCCGCGTTTTCGCGTTTCCGCGTTTCATGTAATGGCACCTTAAGCCTTCCAGTATGTATATAGTTCACTGAAGGTGAACGACCGCGCGGCTGTAGCGAGCAAG